TTTTGAACTTTTATTTTGCGACACGGCCCTCTAATTTTGTTTTATTTAGTAAATAAAGCCCCTATTGTTTAGAATATTTCTGACCAGATGCTTTCCTTGGTTGAGTTGGATTTAGCTAATTGAACAGGCCCAAGAGCCTTATTTCACCTCTGTCCAACGTGACACTTTACATACCCAATTCATCCTACTTTTTGGGCCCGATCTTGGGCATGTTGATTGTTGGACTTTTGGGCCAATGTCCAGTCCAATCAGCATATATATTCCATGCATGAGTTAATTTCCCTTAGCCCTTTTCACATTAATTATAGAATTAAAAAAAAAAATGTAAATGAGAGGAATTCCTAGTGCATCAAATTCACGTTTTGGAATTGGAATTAATTAAGAAATAATAATAAAAAAAAACTAAGAAAAAATAAATTGAAATTAAAATTGAAGGAATTAAAAATTAGAATTTAATTTGATTTTAAGATATTAGTTTTTGTGCTCCAAACTCTTGTACTGGCACATCTTAACAGAATAGTAGAGCTGAACGTAAACTTCGACATATTTTAGATTTAACTCGTTCACTCACTATTTCTTCTTATGTGCCTTCATTTTTTTGGGATGAAACATCTCTTACTGCTGTTCATACCATTAATTGTGTTCTTACACCACTTTTACAAAATCAAACACTCTATGAACATCTTTATGGAAAACTTTCCAACTACAGTCATCTTAAAGTCTTTGGGTGTACCTGTTTTGTTCTTTTTCAACCTCATGAGCCAAATAAGTTACAACCACGTTCTCGACTTTGTTGTTTTTTTGGTTATGGAATTGAACAAAAGGGGTATAGATGTTATGATCCTGTTGATAAACGCCTCAGAATTTCTCTTCATGTCATTTTCTAGGAGCATAAACTATTTCATACATTATCTAAGTTTAGTGGTATTCATGATTAGGTTTTTCCTCTTCCCCCATTTGATACCTCTGCAGATCTCTTTCTTGATTTTACAGAATCATTTGATATAGTCAACCCTCTGCCAGCTGAGTCCTACTCATTTGCTTAGTCTAAGGTTCCTGACAGTGCCCTTACCACACATCTTCGCCCTCATTCAACTCGGGTAAGAAATCCACCTGCACATCTTAGTGATTTTCATTGTTATCATGCTATTACTACCTTACATGAACCTCAAACTTTTTGTAAGGCATCTTCTGACCCCATATGACAGCACGCAATGCAAGAAAGAGTTAGATGCACTATCCAAAACTCATACATGGGATCTAGTTGATCTGCTTCCTATAAAGTTTGCTGTAGGATGCAAATGGGTATACAAGATCAAGACTCATTCAGATGGGTCTATTGAGCGCTACAAAGCCTGACTTGTTGTTAGAGGGTTCATAGAGGAATATGGCATTGATTTTGAGGAGACATTTTTTCCCGTTGCACGTATTTTCTCTGTTCGAACTCTTATTGTCGTGGTAGCTTTTCGTCATTGGGGACCTTTTCAGATGGATGTTAAGAATGCTTTTCTCAATGGTGATTTACTCGAGGAAGTATACATGCAGCCTCCTCCAGGTTCTCCTCATCCTTCTAATAAGGTGTGTAGACTTAGACGTGTCTTGTATGGTCTCAAACAAGTACCGCGAGCTTGGTTTGCTAAATTTAATCAGACTATCTCTCGACTTGGCTACTCTGCTAGTCCATATGACTTTACCTTATTTGTTCGACACACTAATCGAGGTATCATTCTCTTTTTACTTTATGATAATGATATGATCATTACTGGCAATGATTTGATGGGAATTCAGGAGCTTAAACAGTTTTTCAATCGTCAGTTTGAGACGAAGGATCTTGGACCCCTCAGTTATTTTCTTGGTCTTAAGATAACTACATCTACAGATGGTTACTATCTTACTCAGGTGAAATACATATCCGGTCTTCTCTCGAAATCAGGTTTCATTGACAACAAGATTGTTGATACTCCCCTTAAGTTCAATACAAGACTTACGCTCTGTTTGGAACCAAATTATTTGGGATTTGGATTTAGAATTGGAAAAGGAAATGGATTGGAATCAAAACGGAATTTCATTTTTGTGTTTGGAATAAACTGGAATTTAAAAAAATAATTGAAAAGGAAATATAATTTTGTACCATTTTACCCTATAAATATATATGTATACAACTTCGTATATTTACCTATTTAGATCAAACATATGAAATATATATGTATATGCATATATATAAATAGTATATGAGAGAGTTTCAACTATGATGGGAACTACAGAGTTTCACTAGGAACACTATAATAGTGTAGACGAGAGTTTCAACAATGTTAGAAATAATGCAATATCAGATGAGAGAATTTCAACTGAGCATTAGAAATAATGCAATATCTGATGAGAGCATCTAGACGATGATATGATAGTAGTGTTTTTTTTTTTAGTAAACACAATGATAGGACAATATTTTGTAAAGTGAAGACAATTTTGATATGAAGAAAATGGTTGCAACTCCAAAATGGATTGAGAAGAGATTGAGTGGAAGATAGATAAAGAGACGTACTATTGGGACGATGGCAAGTCTGGGAGCACCTTTGGGGATAAACTTACCTATGGCATGACAGTAGCAGATTGATGCCAACACTGTGATTCATACCATTATGTAATTCATAATTTCACCTTCCCTTGAATCTGTCTTCAGATTGTAGAACACTGAAGAGCTAGAGATATAAAGATGATATATAATAGCATCATAAGTTGAATAGAAATACAATAACAATAGAGTAACATGGTGATGTAGAGATGCTTGGTGAAACTTATATAATAATAAAATTATGTATTAATGGAGTATTTATTTATTTTAGAGGAATGATAGAGTCTCCGACCTCAATTTCCAAACTATCTTCCACATTCGATGTGGCCTTACTACATCAGCCAACTACAAAATGCACCGGCGTCTTTATTCATTTTCTTTCTTTTTGGCATTCTCAATAAAGACACAATTTTTATAAAAATAAAAAATAAAGTAGAAGTGAAAATAGGAGGGCTATTTTGGGTAAGTTCAAGTTTTTAATCTGCCATATCACTTGTTACACTTCAAATCCAGTCAATTTTCCTCGGATTTCTCAACATAAAATTTACATTGGAATCCCATGAAATCCTATTTCGTTTAAAATTTCAATTGTTCTAAACAACTGAAATCGTTTTTGAAATCCAATTCCCGTCAAATCCAGCCGTTCCAAACACAACGTTAATCTATATGATGGAGAATCTCTCGAGATGGTACTTTGTATTGCCAATTGGTAGGTAGTCTGGTTTATCTCACTGTCCCTCGTCCTGACATCTCTCATGCCGTCCACATAGTTAGTCAGTTTATGATTGCCCCTTAGTCCACTCATTTTGCTGCTATTTATTGCATCATTCTTTATCTCAAAGACACTATGTTTTATGAATTGCATTTTTCTTTCCAATTATCGCTTATTCTTCGTGCCTATTCAGATGCAGACTGGGCAGAAGATCTTACATATCTTCGTTCCACCACATGTTAACAAATGAGTGATATTTTTTAGGTGTATACAAAAAAAATTATTAAAACTGGTAAATTGGGGTGCGTTTAGTAACGTTTTCGTTTTCTGTTTCTGCAGTCTTAAGAAAGCAGAAACATAATTTTATTTTCTTGAGTTAAAATAAAAAACAGAAATGATGTTTATTAATACTTGTTGTTGCCATACATTTGAAAATATAAAACAATACATGGCAAGAATTTTAGGAGTTAGTGATTAGAGGGGAGGGTAGATGACTTGAATACAAATTCTCGGATACATGGAGCAACCCAACCACTTAGGTACGACAATTGCTTCCATTAATATCAAAAAGTCATAAATTTAGAAAATCTAATTTAAAATTATAAATCTTAAAAAAACTCAATACATCATAAGTACAAAATTAGATATACCAAGACAAAAATATTCATACCAATTATGTATATAAATACATGTATATGCATGATGTATACATTTATTATGTGATATATAATATATTTAGCATATGATAATTTATTATGAATAAAAAATATTAAATGATATATCTTATATGTAATAAAATATATATTGTGTTATAATATTGTAAATTAATTATAATTTAATATTTACATATAATATAATATAGATATGATTTATAATAATATAAAATATCTATTGCTTAGTAATTTAATAATATTATATTCTATATTAAAAATTATTTTGTCACAAAAAATCATTTACAATATTATTTAATATATTATATATTAAAATATATTTTTATCAAATAAAAATAATATACAATATTTAATTTATTCTATATTAAAAATATATATTTTTATTAACATTTAATATGCAACTTAATATATAACACAAATAATATGAATTTTATTTAAAATGAATAGTGCCTGTACACTAACATTAGTGAAAACGTTATCTGTTACAGTGCCGAAAACATAAGAAACATCATATGATGTTTTTTTTTTTTTTTTTTTTTTCATAAAAATTGAAAACGTTTTCTGTTATAGAAAAAATAAAAATATTTTATTAAACGTTATTTTTATTTTTGTTTTGCCTTTTTAAATGTTGACAACAGAAAGTACCAAAAGTTTTTTTTTGTTACTAAACATAGCCTTGATTACAATTTGATTGATTGTGATGTTGGTTGCAAAATAATGATCCATCGATTTCGACTCCAAGTTCATTAAGAGCGAACCAAATTCAACCATAATATATATATATATATATATATATATATATATATATATATTAAGACCATGTGAGTTTGTTTTCCACAATAATCAAAATACAGTAAATCTGTTTCCAAACTTCAATGAATTTAATTTAATTTATTTTTAAAAATGATTAAAATTGATTCCATTCTAATTTAACCATGAACCAAAGACAGTGAGTACCCCTAATTTTTAGAAAAAGAAAAAGAAAAAGAAAAAGAAACACCCCTAATTTTTGCAGCAAAAGAGAAATTAAAACGACGGAATTTTGGTTTTCACTTCAATTTTTTTCAACGAACTCCATGACACTAGCCGATGTCTGGGCGATGTTAACACTGCGGACTCCACAAAGCCTCCAACTAACTCAACCTTGTCTTCTCCGCCCACTCTCTCTGATGCTCACTCTCTTTCTCTCTCTACTTTTAACTATATACAGCTGAACAAACTCATCAAACCCCATTTCTCAGACCCTAATTTATCTCCCTCCTACCTCTCACTCTCTCTCTCAAATGGCTTCTCTCCTTCAATCTAGGGTTCCTACAGTCTCATTCTCCTCATCTCTCTCATCCGGCATTCAATGGCGCCCCTCCGCCGCATTTCCCTCCAAGCCCCGCCGGAAGAATTCTACTGTCCAAGCCAAGATCAGAGAGATCTTCATGCCGGCCCTCAGCTCTACCATGACCGAGGGAAAGATCGTCTCTTGGATCAAATCGGAGGGCGAGGTCCTCTCCAAAGGCGAATCCGTCGTCGTTGTCGAGTCCGACAAGGCCGACATGGACGTCGAGACCTTCTATGATGGAATTCTTGCCGCTATCGTTGTCGGAGAAGGCGAGACTGCTCCGGTGGGTGCTCCAATTGGCTTACTAGCCGAAACCGAAGACGAAATAGCCGAAGCCAAAGCCAAAGCCTCAAATTCTTCATCACCAACATCAGCTCCTTCCACTGCGTCCCCTCCTCCGCCTGCTGCTGCTCCACCTCCGCCAGCAAAGGCGGCGGCTCCGGCGGCGACAGATGGACCGAGGAAGATTGTTCTGACGCCGTTTGCGAAGAAGCTCGCAAAGCAACACAAGATTGACATCAATTCAGTAGTTGGGACTGGGCCGTTCGGGAGGATCACTCCGTCAGATATCGAAGCTGCTGCTGGGATTGCGCCGTCGAAGAGTGCCACTGCCAATGTGGCTTCACCGGTAGCTGCTCCGACTCCTTCTTCTCCGGCCACCAGCGCCCCTCCCAAAGCCACATCTCCTAGTTTTCCTGAACTTCCAGGGTCTACTGTCGTTCCTTTTACAACAATGCAATCGGCTGTGTCCAAAAACATGATGGAGAGTCTTTCCGTGCCGACTTTCCGAGTGGGCTATCCTGTGGCGACCAATGCTCTTGATGCTCTCTATGACAAGGTACATTGGCATTGCGTATGCTGCTTGATATTTTTATTGCATTTGATTGTTTTTGAATTGTAGTTATGGAGATGGATCTCTGTGGCATTTTTCAGGTTAAGCCAAAGGGTGTCACTATGACTGCTTTGTTAGCAAAAGCTGCAGCAATGGCACTTGCCCAGCACCCTGTTGTGAATGCTAGCTGTAAAGATGGGAAGAGTTTTACATATAATAGTAGCATAAACATTGCTGTTGCTGTGGCAATCAATGGTGGGTTGATAACCCCCGTTCTTCAGGAAGCTGATAAGGTTTGTGATTTTGTAAAATCTTCTCTGAATGAGTATATTTGTAAGATAAATGCATATTTTATATTGTTCTGTTATTGGTTGAATGTTTTCTTTTTTTGATTTTCCACTTTTCAGCTCTTAGATAGTGAATTTTGCATTAATTAATAACATGTCTCTATTGGTGTAGTTGGATCTTTATCTGTTATCTCAAAAGTGGAAGGAGCTGGTAGAGAAAGCCCGGGCAAAGCAGCTACAGCCCCATGAGTACAATTCAGGTACTAGTCATTCATTTTTTTTTTTTTTGTTTTCAGGGAGACTTGGATGTGGATTGTGGATCGAAAACTTCTATTAAGGGACAATGTTATTGAGTTGTTCTATTATGCTCACAGGGACTTTCACACTGTCCAATTTGGGCATGTTTGGAGTGGACAGATTCGATGCTATCCTTCCTCCAGGCCAGGTTAGTAACGAATGTGAGGCCTTTCACCTTCATTAAAATATGGGGTTCTCTACTCCTTGCAAAAGATTAAAACTTTTTACTCATAAACTTGGATGGTGTTCAGGGTGCTATTATGGCTGTTGGAGCATCAAAACCTACTGCTGTTGCTGATGCAGATGGATTCTTCAGCGTAAAAAGTAAAATGCTGGTGAGTTAAGTTTCTAGTTCTTTTTATTTTTATTTTTTTATTATGGTATTTCATTTTTCCCTACAAGTTTGTCAAAATAAAAATTTATTGAAATATATATAATGGGTATTCCAACATATCATGCATAGGCTTTGCACAGAAATGTATTCATCTATATGGTTATCTACGTGAATATTGATTTCAAAAGGAACTTTACACTTAAATTGTTTATAGTTAGATCGTGTAGATTGCCTCAGCATAGGCCATAGTTTCCAATTAACTGAAGGTATGCGATAGGAAAGCAGAAATCTGGAAAGTGATATAGTTGATAGTTTCAAATTTACACATCACTTTCAGATACTTGTACTACTAACATTACTTTCAGATAAAAATTGTCTACTCCGTCTTCCCTTGTGTGTGCAACTTCTGCATCCATCCAAACTAACTTTGATTTTTACTTTTTTTGGGGCGGGGGAGCACTTGTCCGCTTTGGGCCACATGGTACGATATTGTCCGCTTTGGGTCTGAGCCCGCACGGTTTTGCTATTAAGCTTTACCCCAAAAGGCCTCATACCAATTGGAAATGACACACTTACATATAAGCACTTCACCTTTCCTCTACCCAGGCGATGTGGGACTGTGCACCCGTAGCTCGCCTAACAGTGTCTCTCGCACCCGCCCACGGCACACCCGCCCACAAGGTCATCACAATCCACCCCCCTTGGAGGCCCGACGTCCCCGTCGGCATACTTCCGGCTGGGTCAGGCTCTGATACCATTTGTAACGACCCGCTCCATCACATGGTATGATATTGTTCGCTTTGGGCTTGAGCCCTCACGGTTTTGCTCTTGGGCTTTACCCCAAAAGGCTTCATACCAATTGGAGATGACACACTTACATATAAGCACTTCACCTTTCCTCTACCCAGGCGATGTGGGACTGTGCACCCGTAGCTCGCCAGTGTGGTAGCCTGACAGTGTCTCTCGCACCCGCACATCGTCTGGGTGTGGATGGGGCAAGTGCTATATGTAGATTCAACACTCTTCTATGACATAACGCGTTTTAAAGCCGTGATGGCCGTGAACCCATCAGAACTGTGTAGTTAAGCGTGCTTAACTTGGAGTAGTACCAGAATGGGTGACCCCCTGGGAAGTATCTGGTCTGGGTGAGCCAAAAGCGGACAATATCATACCATGTGGTGGAGTAGGTCGTTACAAATAGTATCAGAACCTGACCCAGCCGGAAGTGTGCCGACGGGGACGTCGGGCCTCCAAGGGGGGTGGATTGTGATGACCTTGTGGGCGGGTGTGCCGTGGGTGGGTGCGAGAGACACTGACAAGCTATCATACTGGCGAGCTACAGGTGCACAAGTCCCACATCGCCTGGGTAGAGGAAAGGTGAAGTGCTTATATGTAAGTGCATCATCTCTAATTGGTATGAGGCCTTTTGGGGTGAAACTCGAGAGCAAAACAGTGCGGGCTCAGACCCAAAGCGGACAATATCATACCATGTGGTGGAGCGGGTCGTTACATATTACTATGGAGAAAATCTTACAAAAGAAGAAAAAAATAGATTAAAAAAGCCTAAAGGAAGCTGGATGTGTCTTGCATTGCTACTTTGGTAGCCTTGGGCCAGCTGGAATATGTATCATAATACGATACTGAGAAATGTAACTGTGGAGAGTTTCAGCAGGCCTATTTATGTCAAATGGACTGTTGGATTTAGGGATTAGGGGCAAGACATTTTTTGAATTGTAGCATTTCTTAACGGGCATATCTTAGAGCCCCACTGGAGAAATTCCTTCAGCCAACATAGTTTTTTTTTAGCTTCTACCTTCTTTGTGATGATAAAACTTTTCTAAAGAGGAATACAGAAATATGTAGTAAACGGAGGCATGAAGTGGTAGAAGCATGGTCACATGAATGCTCCAAACAATGTTTGGAAAGTTGACAATAAAACATATCTTAAAGGACTTGAAAGACAATGCAACTATACCTGAAGATTCAGGTACTTAACTGAATCTTAAAGGGACTTCGTTTGTAATTTTCTAATGCAACAAATATATATTTTTTCCCTTTTTGATTTTTCTCTTTTGGTCTCTGTCAATGTTTGATGAATCATATGTGAGGTTCCTTTGGTTATCTTTTGCAGTTTGTTCTTGGGGGTGCTTCTATTTCAACATTTGATGGAAGAACTTAGTACATTTGTTTTCTTTAAAAAAATTCACTGTATAAAATTTCGTATCCTTATCCTTTTTCCCTGAAAAGATTATCCTTTCTACGGAGACACTATTGACATGATACTAAATGCTTTCTTTATTATGAGTCCACAAGAATGTTAAATGACCACTCATTCACAATTCCTTGATCAGATCTGGGAACTAGGATAATTTTTTACATGCACAGCTTACGTGGTGCCCTATCATTATCGTCAATCATCACAGCACTATATCACTTATGAAAAAAAAAAAAAAAAAAAAAAAATCATAAGTACCATTTTAACTGAAAAGAGATCTCTGTTTTTAAGTATGTCTAAGTACTTGGCTGGTGGAATTTGTGATGAATTAAGTCTAGGTGTGAGTGGCAGCTGAAAAGTTCTCTCTTGTTGGAGCTGCAGCTGAAATGTTCTCTCTTGTTGAGCAGCGCTCTTAGAGCTGTGAATGAGCCGAATTTTGGAGTGTTCGGGTTTAGTCTTTGTTCATTTTAGCTGATCTTGTACTCAGCTTGAGTTGCTTGAGCTTAGTACAAGCTCAAGAGGGTGTGTGCAAACTTGGATAAAAAAATATATAATCATCTCAAATGGCTTAAGTAACACTAAAAATTATAATTACATTGTACCCGTCTTTGGTAAAAAGTTAATTTTTAGTCATTTTCTGCTTGGAATGAATTAAAGAACAGCATCCTGAGATGCTTGCCTAAATCTTCCTTCTGTAACTTTGTCAAGACCCTTAAAGTGCATATTCTTCATGAGCCTACCAAGCCGAGGATGTTAAAACAAATGAGCCTGTATTGGAGCTCAAGCTCTGCTAGCTTACTTTTCAAAAGAGTTTAAGAAGATTTTCAACAAGTTCAGCCCAAGCTGTTCAGGCTCAGTTCATTTGAAGCCATAAGCACCCTGGGTTGACGGAAATTACTTTTTTGAAAGGCATACTCTTCTACAAGGTCTTTTCTCCTCGGAAAACTTTGGGTTACGCTTCTTGATGGAAATTGACAGGAACTAACCATGTCCTGATACAAGTATTTATCTTTTTTTCCCTAGTTTATTTATCTTTGAAATTGAAATGCTGAGTCCATGATGTTGGTCCCGGTTGTGGAAAATAAGCAGCAAAACTGATAGTGCCACATTTATCTCACTTTACGGGTTGTGCCAATAGATGTCCCCCACGATCTAGGTTACATTTCAACCAATGACCTACAACAACCACATCGCTCCTTTTACCACCTTGAGTTAAGGTCCAGGGACAAGTGTCCTCCACAAGTTCACAAACTGAGACTGACTTATATCACTCAATTTCAAGGAGTCTTTGACTCTCTCTTTAGATATCCTCTCTTTGGATCTTTATTTATATATATATATATTTGTAAGTTACCCTTTTGGTCCTTTATTGACACTGAAACTCTATTCAGAACCTTCTTTTCTCTACCAGTACTTGCGAGTATACTTAAGAAGTAGAACTTTTGTTTCAAACTTCCAGAAAGCCTTATGTTTTCTTGTAATAGGCAAAGGAATCATGCAAACTAGAATTATGAGATAGGAGCTCGTCAGCCTCATCTAAGTGGGAGACATTTGCACTGCATTCGAGTATCATCAGGAAAAAATGAAAAGAGAGATTATATCCTTTATGAAATGCGGATGCATATTGAAAAAGGCATAGTTCATGAGCCTAACTTTGTAAAGAAGAGGAAAAATTAGTTAATGGCTGAGTGGTTTTTGGATGCATATTGAAAAAAGCATAGCTCATGAGCCTAACTTTGTAAAGAAGAGGAAAAAATAGTTACTGGCTGAGTGTTTTTTCTTTTGCTTCCACCACTTTTCACAGGCGAATATCCACTGAGCAACCGGAATAGATATAAATTGTTTCCATCATTTTTCATATACAGATGTTAAACACCATTTCCACCTTGATCTGAAGTTAAACTGATTCTTTATATTACTCTCTGCATTTTGTTTTCCAACTTTTCCTTGGACCAGAAGACAACCTCTTAGCTGGAGAGGAGATACATCATAACTTCCATAGTATTTTGAGAATTTCTACAAGACTCCTGACTTCGGTGCATGAATCTTTTATTCCAGGTGAATGTTACAGCTGATCATCGAATCATCTATGGTGCTGACTTGGCTGCCTTCCTTCAGACCTTCTCAAAGATCATTGAAAACCCGGAGAGCCTGACAATGTAGATGATAATCGAGGTTTTGTTGATAGAGAGGCTAAATAGTCCTTGTCGAACAAAGTGCATGCCAAGGAACCTGGTTTGCAGCAGTTGCATTAATTGTTTTTTTGGAATTGTTATGTATCATTTTACTTCACTTCTTTTTTGTTTTGCCGAGGATCTCAGGTGATGCCATTGAACCATTTCTGATAGAGGGTAATAAATACTTACTGAACGTTTTCTATACAAAATTGATGAGGATTGTTTTGTTAGAAAGTGGACAACTTATGTCACTTAATTTTGTCTCTCTTTTCCTTTTTCATTTGTCTTTGTTGACTGATTTTATTGGATTCAAGCATAATCGATGAACTTGTTCAAGTCTTAAACCTTTTCTGTGCTTTAGTGTCAGTGTCTTTCCTCTACTTTAATTGTGACTGCTTGGATAAAAAACTCTAATTCTCTGTGTTGACATATGTAGTTTTTTCAGTGGTTATTTCAACACCAAAATCTGGGCAAGGTAGAAAGGATCTGTTCAACCGCTCACACATTTTCCTTTTCTTCCCTTGCAGAAGTTGACATTATAGACTAGATGTTACTTTTTGTTGGATTTGGAATAGCGCAAGGCCGGCCTTGTCGACTGTAGAGCAGGTCCGTTATTCTTTTCCCATTGATGGTTAGAAAAGGATTAATATTGAGAGACTATTTTGAGACTAGATGTTACTTTTTGTTGCATTTGGAACAGCGCAAGGCCTTACTTGTGGTCTGTAGAGCAGGTCCATTATTCTTTTCCCATTGATGGTTAGAAAAGGATCAATATTGAGACTATTTTGCGTTTAATTATTAGGTCAACCGCTAAAAACATGACAGTGGACTGGGAGCTCAATTCCAGCCAAACTAGGCGAGTCAGTGAACTACGAGTCTACGTCCCAGTTGCTCTTGCCCTGATTGTTTTTGCCTGAGCAATATTGCTCGTGCACTAGGCCAGCCCTTAGGTTTATCCTGAAGTTCCTGAACATGAAGTTCATAAACTATCTAGTCGCTTAACGTTTTGATTCCGGAAAATGGCTGAGAAGACGTCTCGTGTTGATTACTTAAAATAACTGTTTTCTGCGTTGTCATGCTTGAAAACTCATAGCTTTTACCCAGAAATGACCTCTGCTCACCAGAAAATTTTCCCTTTCGAAAATATAGAACTGCCAGAAAATGAAAATGTTATATAGTGCACCAAGGAGGTCACTCCATTCTATCATTATTGTACATAAAAACTAGAATACAGAGTCTCGTGATTGATCTCTACAAATTTACTACTAGAAGATAGAATTGGGACTACAGAAAAAGGACTAACTAGTTTGGACCTAACAATGCCATGAGGGTTCAACTAAGCATGGTCTCCAAGCTCCATTTCCCCTCCTTTGGATTTGCCATCTTCTCTGTTACGGATCTGGATGGGCTTGAAAGTGTAAAACTTTGCACAACACAGGAAGTAAAAAAGATTCACGACTTGCAACGCTGTGATCAACCAGTAGAAATACTCCAACTTTCCCTCATTCAGATTAGTATCCGGAAGCCAATTCGAGCCACCAGGTCCTGCACTGTACTTGTGCACCACTGTAACTAGAAAGGTACTTATATAACTTCCAGCTGCAATGGCCATCCAGAATAATGCAGATGCGGTACTCTTCATGCTCTCGGGTGCCTGATCATAGAAAAACTCCAGATGTCCAATGGACATGAAGGCTTCAGCCATGCCGTGGAGGGCGTACTGTGGCACCAGCCAAAAGACCGATATAGGGATAATGGCATGAGGCCTGTGGGTGAGGCCATGGGCTGAAGCAACACGCTTTCTCTTCACTTCAACAAAGCCGGCTACTAGAGTGGCTAGTACCGAAATGACAAATCCAATGCCCATCCGTTGGAGGAAGGAAATGCCTCGGTCAAGGCCGGTGAACCTACGAGCGATGGGAACGAAGACACGATCGTAAAAAACGATCGTGCTAAGCATGAATGTCATGGTGAACACAGTCATGGAGCCAGCAGGAATCTGGAAGGAGTTTGCGAGATGCCTGTCCATGGTTTTAGCTTGTTGGAGAGAGAAAGTGTTCTGCTGGGCGTAGGCTGTGATGAGGAGGATTCCGGCTGCCCATATCGGCCCCATTCGTATTAGAGATTTTAATTCTTCCACACGATGAACAGTGTTCAGCCTCCATAGATTGGGTTTGGTTGAAGATGTGATATTGTCTTCTTCAGTCACTATGGCTGCCTTGTCAAGGAATCTGTTTGCCACCATAGATTAGGAAAAGCTAGTTTACACATCTCCAAACAAAATGAAGACAATAAATCTTTGAACATGATTCGAAACCAAAAAAAAATAGTCTCTGCATGTAAAGGTAAGATAGTGTACGTCTAGCCTCTTTTCGATTGAAGGTCTAATTCCGAATATTTTATTTTATTTTAAACTATACATCATAATACAAACAAAAAAAATATAAAATGATTCTCTAACCGAATTTGTGATTTGAATTTTTAGCCCACCATCCCTTTGTTAGACTAGTGCAATGGAACATTACAGAAATAATTGACGTCAAATGAGTTGTTTCTGTTGTTACGGGTAGGGTGGGGAGACCTAATGAAGGCCTAAAAGACAAACAAGCATTCATTGGTATCCATTTATAATCGCAAAAATATGATAATTATTGAGAGAGGAATCATTAAAAATAAAAAATAGAAAAAACAGACTTATATGCCATTGTTGACTAGGTCCATCCATCTATTCCAACACAAATGACTGATTCATGCGGACTCCTTACCTGATGGTCCTCGTAGATGTAGCGCAAACTTTTTCTAACTATTAGATTTGACAGTTAATTTTATTAAATTAATTATAAAAGTATATAAAAATATTATTTAGACTCTGTTATGATTTAAAATGCCTTTATAAAGAATATAGAAAATTTTTGTCATTTTTTCAAACAATAATGTTAAATAGATATTTAATATTTTAGCGTTGGTGTAAATTATCCAAAAATGTTTTTGGTATTGGTATAAAAAACGTGAATGAGAGAGAAAGAAAGAGAAAAAAAAAAAAATTTAATCATACAATTTTTTGGGTCCAATATTAAATTTCTATATTAATTAGAATTTATTATAAAACGTGAATAAGAATATAAAAAGGGAGGAAAAAAATATAAACCTTTGGGGTCCAATATTAAATTTATGTATCAATTAGAATTTAACGGAACGAATAAGGAGAGAGAAAAGAGAAAAAAAGAAAAAAAGAAGAAGAAGTTATTTTATAATATAAATATTTGAGTCCTAATATAAAAATCGAAACGAGTGGGATATATAAATCTTTAAGACCTAATATAAATTTTTATATTTATTAGAGTTTAACAATATTAAAAAATAATTATAATATAACTTAATATAAGAAAATTTTAAAATTTTAAAACCTTCCTATTAGCTGACCTTAAGCACTGCCGAAGTCACCTAAGACTTGAGCCGTTCGCCCACCATTGTATGGTCTCCATCACTCTAACATATTTATATATATATATATATATAGAGAGAGAGAGAGAGAGAGAGAGAGAGAGAGAGAGTATGGATAAGGACACAATAAGGACACATCCATGTGCTTCAAGAAATTTCATTTGATTAAGTTATTAAAAATAATACATATTAAATACAAACTATGTTTAAATATCTATTTTTTTATTTTTATTTTTATTTTTTATTCTTTTGGTTCTATGATTCCCGGATTCTTTTATTTAGTTTTGGATATATATCTCCAAATTCTTTAATACTAGGAAAAGGGTTGAAGAGGAAATAAATACAAAGGAGACAGAGATGATACAAGGAAGGAAAGGAAAATAAGAACTATGATTCATCTTTCGTTCTAATTTTTATTGAACCAAAAATAGACGAAAGAAAGGAGGGAAAACAAATGAACTATTATAAAAATTTTAAATTAAATATTATTTTAAATTATACAAATTTAATCATAAATAATAGTAGATATAATGATAAAAATAATTAAAACTTTTTATTTCTTTCTCTCAAAACAAATATAGTAAATTATGAGGTTATTCTCTTTTATTTTATCTAACAGAACAAAAAGAAGAAAATGCATAATATTTTCTATAAATATTATCCATATCCTAAGTTTGTGTCTTCACTCTTCTCCCATTTACTGTCAAATGATTGCTAAGCTCACACAAACACAAAATCTGGAAATTAGACAGAGACATGAGAGGGACTTACTTCATATGCTTAGTGTGAAGAAGCTTCCCTGCAACAGAAATGGGTGCATCAAGCTCCTCATTCTCGTAGAGCGATTTCGGATCAGAAACCATACGGAGATTTCTCTTCTTGAACGCGGCCACACACACTTGCACCAATCGCGTAAATGGGCTCCCTGCAGGGTTTAGATTTCGATACAAAGGGTATCCAATTATGAATGCTATCACCGACAGAGCCATTGCTATAGCTGGAACTCCGAGTCCCCATCCCCATCCGATGGTGTCCTGAATGTAAACGATCACTGTCACAGCCACGAGCATGGATGCCCCCATGCAGAAGTAGTACCAGTTGAAGAACTTCCACGTCCTAGTCTTTTGCTTTGGATCTGTTTCGTCGAACTGGTCTGCCCCAAATGCCACCACACACGGCCGGATTCCACCCGACCCCAACGCCGTCAGCAGCAGCGATATGTAGAGGATGGCCAGTTGACCGGAACTGGCCTCTTGGCACACTTGCTGCTGCTCACCTTTACATGGCGGTGGCCTCAACTTTGGTAGTACTGCAGATATGATTAAGCAAATCATCCCCTAATTACAAGAAAAATAAATTAGTAAAAATGAAGGGTCTTTGAATATTAATTCAATGGGTAATATTGTCCAAAGATTTTCTAATTGCTTTAAGAGTTTAATTAAATTTGGATCTAATAATAAAAACTATGTTACAGTATGTCAAACCGGTCTCCACAAGCATAGAATTGACTGCAGTGAAACAAATATTCAAATACAAGTCTTCTACTCCTCCTACTAGGAAGTTAATTATTAAAAAATTCTAATGTTGTTTTGTTTAATCTTGATGTTCTTCCATGAGGAAAGCAATTGAAAACCTACCAAAAAAAATAATAAATAAATAAAGAAGAAGAGGAATAAGTATAAGAAAGTCTCTGTTTCTTTACTTGAGCAAAGAGAGAGAGAGAGTCACCAACTATTTGATATATGATGGAATTAAAATATATTCATGATGTTCTTCCATGAGGTAAGCAATTCTAAACCTACCCAAAATAATTAAATGAATGAATAAATAAAGAAGAAGAAGAGCAGGAAGAAAAGAGGTAATCTGTACTCTGTTTTTTTTTTTTTTTTTTTTTTAATTCGGAAAAAAAAAAAAAAAAAAAAAACACCGTATATTGAGCAGGAAAAAAAAAGTATATTGAGTTACTTGAGCAAAGAGAGAAAGAGAGTCTCAACTATTTGGTATATCATGGAAGCAATTGTTATGGTCCAGAACCGGCCAGCATATGCATCGGCGATGAAGGCGCCGAGCAAGGGTGTCAAGCTTGCAGTCCCCCCAAAGTTGGTTAGTGTGTTGGCTGCTTTGGTTATTGGCATATGAAGCTGCTGTGTCAAGTAGCTGATCATATTAGTGGAAAAACCTACCACAGCCAACTTCTCACAAACCTCATTTGCTGCACAAACACACAGTAAAAGACCATCACAACCAAAACAAAAAGCTCCAAAGATCCAAAACACTAAATATATCTTGGCAAAATATGTGTGAATGTATTGTTTTGAAAATCTCATAGTTCGAGCACAAAATTAAAGCTTACCAAAGATGAAGGGCATGGTGATCAATCCACCCTTTATTTTTCCCACATGGCCGCCTTTCTTCTCCATCATTGCCATCTTCTTGAAACAGTCTGGCTTATGTGCTTTAAATGGCCCCCAAAACCCCATTATTTATAAGCTGCATGGAGGTTTTAACACACTAACTAATGTCTGTAATTTGTAAATATATTGAGTGATTAATTTATAGCCACAAATAAGAAGAATTACATGATTTGGATAAGTGAGAGTGAAACTCTGTTAAAAAGTAGTAGTGTTGTATCATATGAGAGGTTTGGAGGAGAGACAAATAATGTTATTTCACTATTTTTTTAGGTTGTATGCTTGCGTTTTGTGAGATGTGATCTGAGAGACAGCCAAGGGGTCCATTGGCTGGACTTTTCTTCATAAATATGGGGATATTTTTTTGAAAAAAACACAAAAAACAAAAGCAATTACTATGATATGCATTCTAAGGAGGTGAATCTTAGGAAAATTCAGTGTGACCAAACAGAGTCTTGACACGAACACAATTTGGAATTCATTTTTTCTCCTTGCTATTATTGCCACTTGCTTTGCAACCATACAAGAGAAATAAATATTGTGACCATGATATATATATATATATATATATAAGAAACGTGGGAAAATAGTTAACAAAAAGGAGATGATATGCAGAGTTGTTTGGGCAACTTGCTAGCCACAAATTCTTTGTTTTTCTTGATAATGTTCATATACCATAAATGTGTAGTTCCAATTGTTTGTGGGGTCTCAATGTGTGTGTTCCAACAATTCACTTATGGATTGTTCTCGTCATGGTTTGCATTCGCGGTGTAACGAATTCAGACAAATATCGATGTAAATCGGCCGAAGAGGATGGTTCATGAAGGTGTGTAATGGTATAGGATCCTTAAAAAAGGGTTACGAACTGATTATTACGTCAACAAAAAAATTTTCACATTCGATAATATAGAAATGCCGGTAAATGAAAATGTTATGTAGCACCAGGGAGGTCACTCCATTCTATCATTATTGTACATAAAAACTAGAATACACAGTCTCCTGATTGATCTCTACAAATTTGACTACAGAAAAAAAAAGGACTAACTAGTTTGCCATGAGGGTTCAACTAAACATGGTCTCCAAGCTCGATTTCCCCTCCTTTGGATTTGCCATCTTCTCTATTATGGATCTGGACGGGCTTGAAAGTGTAAAACTTTGCACAACACAGGTAGTAAAAAAGATTGATGACTTGCAATGCTGTGATCAACCAGTAGAAGTACTCCAACTTTCCCTCATTCAGATTAGTATCCGGAAGCCAATTCGAGCCACCAGGTCCTGCACTGTACTTGTGCACCGCTGTAACCAGAAAGGTGCTTAAATAACTTCCAGCTGCAATGGCCATCCAGAATAATGCAGACGCGGTACTCTTCATGCTCTCGGGTGCCTGATCATAGAAAAACTCCAGATGTCCGATGGACATGAAGGCTTCAGCCATGCCGTGGAGGGCGTACTGTGGCACCAGCCAAAAGACCGATATAGGGATAATGGCATGAGGCCTGTTGGTGAGGCCATAGGTTGAAGCAACACGCTTTCTCTTCACTTCAACAAAGCCGGCTACTAGAGTGGCTAGTACCGAAATGACAAATCCAATGCCCATCCGTTGGAGGAAGGTAATGCCTCGGTCAAGGCCGGTGAACCTACGAGCGATGGGAACGAAGACACGATCGTAGAAAACGATGGTGCTGAGCATGAATGTCATGGTGAACACAGTCATGGAGCCAGCAGGAATCTGGAAGGAGTTTGCGAGATGCCTGTCCATGGTTTTAGCTTGTTGGAGAGAGAAAGTGTTCTGCTGGGCGTAGGCTGTGATGAGGAGGATTCCGGCTGCCCATATCGGCCCCATTCGTATCACAGATTTTAATTCTTCCACACGATGAACAGTGTTCAGCCTCCATAGATTGGGGGATGAAGATGATGTGATATTGTCTTCTTCAGTCACTATGGCTGCCTTGTCAAGGAATCTGTTTGCCACCATAGATTAGGAAAAGCTAGTGTACGCATTTCCGAGCAAAATTAAGACAACAAATATTTCAACGTCATGAATTAGAAATAAGAAAACAGTCATTACATTTAAAAAAAAAGATAGTGTACATATAAAATTCTGCATTGATGGAAGTCTCCAACTTGAATTAATTATTTTATTTTAAACTATACATCATAGGGTCTCAATAGTAAATACAAACAAAAAAAATTATTCTGGAACTGAATTTGTGATTTGAATTTTTAGCCGACCATTCCTTGTTAGACTTAGACTAGTGCAATGTATATGACAAAAATAATTGACGTCAAATGAGTTGTTTCTGTTGTTGGCGGTAGGGTGGGGTGATCTAATGAAGGCCTAAAAGACAAAACAATCATTTATTGGTATCCATTTAGAATTGCAAAAATATGATAATTATTGAGAGAGAGGAATCATTAAAAATAAAAAATACAAAAAACAGACTTATATTATATGTCACTGTTGACCAGGTCCATCTACCTATTCCAACACAAGTGATTGATTCACGAGGACTCCATACTTGATGATCGGGCCTCATAGAGGTAGTGCCCACCATTGTATGGTCTCCATCACTCTACCATGCTCTCAAAATATGGATAAGGACAAATCCAGATAAGCTTACAGATTTTCTAAAGATTCAAGAAATTTCATTTGATTAAGTTATAAAAAAAAAAAAAATACATATTAAATACAAACTATGCTATACATATTTTTTTTCTATGATTCCCTAGATTCTTTTATTTAGTTTTAGATATATATTTTGTTGGTTATAAAAAACAGTCATGTTGCTTTCCAAATTCCTTAATGCTGTGTTTGGTAATAAGGAAGGAAGAGAGATGAAGTAAAAATGAAAGAAATGAATGAATTTTGGTAGAGATGATAAAAAGAAGGAAGAAAAAATAGGAAGGACGATCCATCCTTTATCTTTTACAAATTTTCATCCGTCCAAAAATAAATAGAAGAACAGAGGAAAAACAAATGAGTTATTATAGAAATTTTAAATTAAATACTATCTTAAATTATAGAAATTTTAAATTACAGTACTATCCTCTATAAATTATAATATTATAAATATGATTAGATATAATAGTAAAAAAATTAAAACTTTTTATTTTCTTCTCCCAAAACTAACATAACAAATTATGAATTTATTTTCTTCTTTTCTAAGAATGTCTCATCTATCCCTTCTTCTCTCCCTTCTAGTTTTTTTATTTCCTACCAACAAAGCATAAAGAGAACCAATATTAATTATCCATATCCTAAGTTTATCCTAAGTTTATGTTTTCACTCTTCTCCCATTTACTGTCAAATGATTGCTAAGCTCCCACCGACATGAGAGAGACTTACTTCATATGCTTAGTGTGAAGAAGCTTCCCTGCAACAGAAATGGATGCATCAAGCTCCTCATTCTCGTAGAGCAATTTCTGATCAGAAACCATCTGGAGATTTCTCTTCTTGAACGCGGCCACACACACTTGCACCAATCGCGTAAATGGGCTCCCTGCAGGGTCTAGATTTCGATACAAAGGGTATCCAATTATGAATGCTATCACCGACAGAGCCATTGCTATGGCTGGAACTCCGAGTCCCCATCCCCATCCAATGTTGTCCTGAATGTAGACGATCACGGTCACCGCCACGAGTATGGATGCTCCCATGCAGAAGTAGTACCAGTTGAAGAACTTCCACGTCTTAGTCTTTTGCTTTGAATCTGTCTCGTCGAACTGGTCTGCCCCAAATGCCACCACACACGGCCGGATTCCGCCGGACCCCAACGCCGTCAGCAGCAGCGATATGTAGAGGATAGCCAGTTGACCGGAACTGGCCTCTTGGCACACTTGCTGCTGGCCTTTACATGGCGGTGGCCTCAACTTTGGTAGCACTGCAGATATGATTAAGCAAATCATCCCCTAATTACAAGAAAAATAAATTAGTAAGAATATTAATTCATGTGTATTGTCAAATATTTTCTAATTGTTTTAAGAGTTTAATTAAATTTGGATCTAATAATAAAATCTATGTTACAGTATGTCAAACCGGTCTCCACAGAACTGACAGTGAAACAAATATTCAAATATATACTAGTCTTCTACTCCTAGTACTAGGAAGTTAATTATTGAAAAAAAATTAACGTTGTTTTGTTTAATCTTGATGTTCTTCCATGAGGAAAGCAATTGAAAACCTACCAAATAAATAAATAAAGAAAAAGAGGAATAAAAATAAGAAAGGGGTAAGCTGTCTATGTCTGTTTCTTTACTTGAGCAAAGAGAGAAAGAGAGTCACCAACTGTTTGACATATAATGGAACTAATATATAATCATGATGTTCTTCTATGAGGTAAGCAATTCTAAACCTACCCAAAATAATTAAATGAATAAAGAAGAAGAAGAGCAGGAATAAAAGAGCTAAGCTGTTCTCTGTTTTTGTTTTGTTTTGTTTTTTTTTCCCTAAAAAAAAATAAAAATGTATCCACAGGGAGAGAGAGAGTCTCAACTATTTGGTATATCATGGAAGCAACTGTTATGGTCCAGAACCGGCCAGCATATGCATCGGCGATGAAGGCACCGATCAAGGGTGTCAAGCTTGCAGTCCCACCAAAGTTGGTGAGTGTGTTGGCTGCTTTGGTTAATGGCATATGAAGCTGCTCTGTCAAGTAGCTGATCATATTAGTGCTAAAACCTACCACTGCCAACTTCTCACAACCCTCATTTGCTGCATACAAACACAAACACACAGTAAAAGACCATCACAACCAAAACAAAAGCTCCATAGATCCAAAACACTATCAGTACTGTACAATAAATATATGTTGGCAAAATATGTGTGTGAATGTATTGTTTTGAAAATCTCGTAGTTCGAGCACAAAATTAAAGCTTACCGAAGATGAAGGGCATGGTGATCAATCCGCCCTTTGTTCTTCCCACAGGGCTGCCTTTCTTCTCCACCATTGCCATCTTCTTGAAACGGTGTGGCTGATGTGCTTTAAATGGCCCCCAAAACCCCATTATTTATAAGCTGCATGGAGGTTTTAACACACTAACTAATGTCTGTAATTTGTAAATATGTGACTAACATTTGAGTGATTAATTTATGGCGACAAATAAGAAGAATTACATGATTTGGATAAGAGAGAGTGAAACTATGTTAAAAAAGTGGTGGTTGTATAGTAGTATTGTATCAGATCAGAGGTTAGGAGGAGAGACAAATAATGTTATTTTCACTATTTTTTTGGGTTGTATTCTTGTGTTGTGTGACATGTGATCTGAAAGACAGCCAAGGGGTCCATTCTAAGGAGGTGAATCTTAGGCAAATTCAATGTGACAAACAGAGTCTTGACAGGAGCACTTTTTGGAATTCATTTTTTTTTCTTTCTATTATTGCCACTTGCTTTGCAACCATACAAGAGAAATAAATATTGTAACCATGATATATATATATGAAATGTGGGAAAATAGTTAACAAAAAGGAGATGATATGCACAGTTGTTTGGGCAACTTGCTAGCCACAAATTCTTCTTTTTGTTGATAATGTTCATATACCATAAAAGTGTTGTTCAATTTGTTTGGGGTTTCTCAATGTGTGTGTTCCAATAATTTACTTTTAAGTAGGATCGTGATGTAACGAATTCGGGTGAATATTAATATAAATAAGCTGAAGGAATCGGTTCATAGAAGTGTGTAACGATATCAAACCCTTAAAAAAATGTTACGAATCGGTTGTTATGGCGAACCAAGGTTCTAATCGGTAAGAAATCGGTTGTTATGGCGAACCAAGGTTCTAATCTGTCGTTGTCCAAAATTACACCGGAAACAATAATATCTTTCTTTTTTGGAATGGATTCTTTTGCTCATACCCTAATTCAAACACTTCCTCTCCTCTTTAATGATCGGGAGGTTATATAACTGAGCTAAAAACCCCATGGTTCAAATTAAAAGAAGAATCGAAAGTAGTACTTCAAGATAATTCTATGATTTGCTTTGTGAAAAAAAATAATAATAAAAAAATAAAATAAAAATCCTTTAAATTTCACCTAGCAGAAGGTAATACCTTACCTATATACTACCGTGGAACCAAAAGCCAGCAAATTAAGTAATAATCAAGTTTCAATTTTGATATTAGTTAAGATGAGTCAATTTTGTTGCCTATAAAGTTAGTTAGCTTGTCAGAATTCACAAGTAAAATATATGTAACATCTATCATATGTATATTTTATATTTAAAACTAAATATTTAAATCAAGTATGTTAAAGTTCTTTGGACTATTAATGGCATAAAAATGATTGGCACTTGAAAATATGTGTTTAATTGCTGGCTCATGGCTGGAATCATTTTACATTCAATGATTTTACAAAGGCATGAATAGTTATCAATGACATTTTTAATAAAAGAGGGTAAAGTTGATCTGCCTACTCTCATATGAAGTTACACCCTTATTTAGCATAATCCAACATGCAAAAGACTTTATAAAATGGTTGGCATAATTGATTAAAAAAGTCAAATTTTTTTTTAGTTGGTACTCAAATAAATGTCTCTACCGAAATTTGAACCCTTAAATTTATTTTAAAAAGTAGGAGTTTGGTATCGCTAAGCCACTGACGTGTTAATATAAAAAAACTAATTTCTTATCTTAGTTCTCTCATGATAAAATAATAATAATAATAATAATCAATTTGCAACAGGACATTTAAACCAACAATATCTGTAGATTCAATTCAATTTCCCTTTAACTTGACCTTTTTAAATTCATAGTTTTTAGAACTAGAAATTCTACCTTTTCACGTAGGTTTGTATATATGGGTTATACACTAAGGCCCGCAAATTGGAGAGTATCTTGGTAATTTTTGTATTTGTTATGTTCTGCGAAGTTATTTATTTATTTTGAACTTTCTGTATCCGTTGTTATTTTGATCATCATAGTGAAATCCCTGCAACTTTTGAACGTAATCTTAATTTTGGATGAACTAAGTAAAATTTGTGTATTTGATCCATTTTTCTACTTAGTTCCGTAACATGCAAAGACCTGGTATAGGACCAGTGGGGCATCCGTCGCCAGTAATTTTTTTTTTTATATTTATATTACTACCTATATTTTTTGCTATATTTTTAATAATGCCCCACTCAATTTGTAAAAAAATCCCACTTTATATTCTTGTCCCACTTATTATTTTTAATTCAAAAGATAATCATCTCAACCGCCCCGCCCCCACATTCTTGACAATCTAATTCTCTTAAACACACTCATATTCTCACAATGTATTCTTGCATTCATAGTATTCTAGGAAGCACAAACATAACTAGGAGGTCAAAGAATTTGTATTTTATACCGACTTATGTGAGATGAGAAAAGGATTGGTAACGCAGACAAGCTATACACATTAAATTTTTATATTTACTATTTTATTTTTTAAAAAATTAGTCTTCATATGTTTTTTTCTTCAACATCTCTGAAAAAAAATTCTTAATCTATCACTATCAACATGTATATGAGCTCAATTAATCGAGCTCAACATATGATGGCAACATGTATTCATAGCCGTCATATGTTGTCCTACACATATGCTATTACAGTAAAAGACTCGTAATTAAAGATGTTGATCCCATTCAAAACTAATTGGTGATATAACAAACCAAAAACTAATCATGTTCCGAAGTTATTGAATATCTTTAATCACAAGTCTTTTACTGCAATAGCATATGTATAGGACAACAGATGACGGCTATGATCGCCCACATGGTTGGTAAAAATTATCCCTCACCGTCCATAAGATTAAACAAATGCCAAGGATTGAATTTTCCGTTTTCAAGTTATGAATTTTATGCATCTATTCTTTGTTTTGCTTTGTTGCTGTCCTTTCTGTCGAGTTTTTATTTTTCAGCTCGGTGGAGTTATTATGGTGTTACCAGAAAATCTAAATCTTGTAATTGGACTTTAGTGGCCTGTTAATATTTGGTTCTTGACTTATACGATTTGTGATTATATGAACCTGGTTGGAAATGACGTGAGAGGTGACACAAAAGTGGGTCCAACTCTGCTCTGCGACAATGACATTTAACCATAGATCACCGTGACACGTGTCCAACTTTATTCGGTGCCCATCTAGATTTGAATCTGGTCACTGATTGGGACTTCTTGACATTTCACACTTCTTTCTCTCTCGACTCATTGGGGACCAACCCTGACTTACCAAATGACAATATCCTAATCTTGATTACCATTTTGACCTAAAATTTTGAAATTCTAATAGTAATTCACTACTGGGGACGAAGTATGGAGAAATTAAAGGTCTTCATATTATATTTTTTGGCTAATTTCTTTTATTTATTTTTCTTTGACAGTTTATTTATTTATTTATTTTTTAAAGAGTGTTAACTAAACTGAACCATATGATCTATGATCATTTAATAATTTAAAAATTGGTAAGAGAATATACACTACTGGTTCATATGATCTATGATCATTTAATAATTTAAAAATTGGTAAGAGAATATACACTACTGGGGACGAAGTATGGAGAAATTAAAGGTCTTCGTATTATATTTTTTGGCTAATTTATTAAAGGTCTTCGTATTAAAGAGTGTTAATTAAACTGAACCATATGATCTAGGATCATTTAATAATTTAAAGATCGATGAGAGAATATACGTGACGAGCTATTCGGCTATTCAAATCTTCTTTAGAGTGACACTTTGTGCTTATTGTTGACGGAACTTCAAAACATATCATGATTCATGACCTTTAGAAAAGAGATATTGGGTTACTAATGAGCATAACGCGGACAAAGGTCTAACCAGAAACCTAGTCTTTTTAGGTGAGATCTTGTGGGGGCAGAGGATGATATCATGAAAAATCATACATTTTGGAACAATACATTCATCTATTTTTCTTACTTTTGGCTCATTCGTTAGCCTATAAATCATTGTTAAAAAGTAAGTTCTTCATATTAATCATGCTTTTATGACTAGAAACAAAAATAGGCAGTAAAGGGAAATGAGAAAAGACACTGGAAGATTTTAATTCAAGAAAGGTTGAGCAAGTCTCTCTCGTCTTGCTTGAACTGGTAGTAACAAATTTCTGACCTAATAGTCTTTAGCCGATATTCCTGACCTAATACTCTAGCTGAGATTCCTAACCGAGGGAATTCTATCCCTTGGATGGATTAAATAAGACCAAATAATCTTATCCAATATATGAATGATAGAAATCCCTCTAATAGGATTCTCAGCTAGACTACTTAGGTCCGAATAGCATTGTCGTATCTCTCAAATAGGATTCTTAGCTAGACTACTAGGTCTGAATAGCATTGTTGTGCTAGGACCAATTAAGATGATGAGCCTGTATCATAATTGGCAAAATGATTTAGATAAAGGAACATAATTTTAAAACTAACCATATTTTCAGTAAAATATGTAACCATCCACCACCACCTACACCAGATTCAACCCCACAAGCTCAGCCAGTAAAGCAAGCATATTTTAAATTCACACGCTTGTACTGATTAGCAACAAAAATCAATTCGAGTCCCAACACCATTCCCATGCCAAAGTGCATAACTCAAATAAGAGTTGCTCATCAGTTTCTCACTTTATATTCCTTCCAACTCAAAACATGAGGGGGGAGAATTCAACCACCATAACAAGATGATTAGTGATATTGTGGCGGAAAAATTAGGCATCATACTTGGACCGAATACAAATGATTGGACATTAATGCAACAGATAAGGAAGTGGAGGGTCCCACTTTCTTATATTTGGCATGCATTAACTAATTAAAAGTAGTAGGTCAAGAAATTCTACCAAACAACTCGGCTTTGAAATCATTTCCTAACAAGATCATATAGAACCTAAGAGTTCCAAATTCTAACCATTTCAACAACCTTGTATAAACCGGAAATCCGGAATCTCCAATAGGTGTGGCGTAAATCATAACCAAAAAGTTCCAAGCATTGGTAAAACAAAATTTAATGAACTGCCACGAGTATTGTGTATATAGATACCATTATATGTTCCTAACAAAGGCGGTGGAAGAAAACAAGGGTAGAAGCATGAGAAAGTTACACCCTCACATTTTATCTCCTCTCCAGCACTCAATGTCATAAAAACCCCAAACCATGAGTTGGGTCCGAGTATATGCACTACGAAAAAAAGAGAAATAAGACGATAAAAAATACCATATGAGAGAGAGAGAGAGAGAGAGAGAGAGAGAGAAACGAAAAACAGAGGGAGAGAACGTTGTTCCACCTTTACACATCACTCATCAAACTCATGCATGTGATCTAAAAGGTAGTTGGCTGCCAATTCTTCATTCTTGTTGCAAGCAAAGAACACCTCCAATACAATTGCTCGATCAAACCCCATTGCTTCCAGCTAAAAAGGGAAGGATTATCAGCAATGTAAGAAACAATTCCAAACCAATACTGCCATATTTAACTACTATCAACTATGACCTAATTTTTTGAGCCTTAACAAATAATATCAAAGCAAAAAAAAAAAAAAAAATTGAAGCTGAGGGAAGGATCACCAATCTTCAATTCCAGGCCACAATCTATCATTTAAGGGTACTGGAAATCTCTGAGGCTGTGTTTGGCGGCATGGAATTGGAGTCTTGAAATTAAAATTGGTGGGAATTGAAGAAAATTTTGGTTCAATTTTCTTAGTTGCTTTTCTCCAATTACAAAGCTCCAATTCTATGTCTGCCAAACATAGCATGATTGTTTTTCATTCACATTGAGATTAGCACTGTGTTCATCTTGGAGACTAAAAGGATTTTAAATGTGTTGTAAGAGACTGCCGGAAAAAACATTTCTAAGAGCTGCTCAATTGGGCTATATTAAATTTGAAGTTTTGATCACACAGACATTCACACATCTAACCCAAGAGTCAAACTCTTCAGAGAACAGCAACTAATAACTATTGTCCTCCCATATGATAATTAGCTACTTACGAGGAAGAACAGGGATGGTAAGCATGTGAATCACATGCACTCAACAAAATTAAGAGCTCGGGAGGGGCAGAACTTACACGTTCTATGGCTTCATGCTCCTCGGGTGTAACTGTTATAGCCTGGGGCATTGCCGAAGAAAGCTGCTCCAGTATGTTCCTAATACCACAATGCTAGTAAATTAGAATAGCGAACATTCTGAATTACTAGTTCAGAAAGTGTAGAACTGAACATACCCCTCTCCACCTTCAACAGGTTCATTGATCAGACGAACAAAATCAGACTGATGCTCTTGAATAAGCCTCAATAGCTGAGGATTTTGCTTCCCTAGCTCTTGAAGCATGGACTGCAAACAAGAAGAGAATGACGGAGGCCCTTAAACTAAAATATAAATATATACACATATAACTGTTATATTAACAAATAAGATCTGTAAGTGTTGGGGAGTGGTGGTGAAGAACCTGCAACATTTGTGGATTGGACTGCACCATAGCTCTTAAGGCTTGGAACTGAAACAAAACAGAAGTTAAATAATGAGAGAGAGAGAGAGAGAGAGAGAGAGAGAGAGAGAGAGAGAGAGAGAGAGAGAGAGAGGGAGGGAGGGAGGTACAAACCTGTTGATTGTTGCGCAGAAAATCAAGGGTGCCTGCACCAGCAGCAGCATCTGAACCCATGTTGGGGAGACCCTATTGCCAGAAAATACAAGTCCATCACCGAAAGATTTACAACAATAATTATTAATGACCATAAAACACCTACCTGCGGAAAGAGATCCAACGGATTTGCATTTGGTCCACTTGAAGGAACATGTGCTGGTTGTGCTGGCTGAGCTGGAGGGTTTGCAGCCTCCCCACCTGCCGGGGCTCGGGCCACAGGCGGAACCTCAGCTTGCTCAGGAATACCCTGAAATAAATATTAAATAATATTCAAATGCTAAAATGTAAAGATGGATGTTCTTGATAGAATTAGAATTGTAGATAAAATGAGAGAAAAACATTAGGATGATAGTGCCAAGAAGACCACTAAATGCAACAGTAAGGAATAGTGACATGTCTAACATTGAGGGTAATGCTAGGTATAAAGTTAGTAAGAAATGATAGGGTAACATGTGTTTTGACTGACACTATTTTCTTGGTTATAACAGAATGTAGGATTCATGTAATTCACCCCAAGTAGTTGGGAAAAGGTTTGTTGAGTTGAGTTGAGTTGAGAAGAGCCACGATATAAAAGATACTCATTAGTCTAACACACACAGTCATACACACACAAAAACATTAAAATAAGAGAATTTAAATTACTCTTCTAAGAAAATAAGCTTAGAATGAATTTATTGTTGCTCTCTCATCGGGCACTATTGAAGAGATATTGACCAAAAAGAGATAGTACTAAAATATCAAAACGAGAAAAAGATCATGAACAATAAAGCACATAAATTGCTGGCATGGAATTGATTCCCAATTTGGTGAGAGACATGGAATCACAAGGGGATTGTTAGAGGGACAAAGAGTTTGCTTTAATTGTCAAAATTATGACCAGATTCAGTATAGATTACTCTTCTTATGAAAATTAGTCCCAGATGCTCATTCGCAAAATTCAATGCAATGTCTAAAGGCAAGACAAACACCTGTGTAGCAACAAGAACCTTCCTCTGCTAATACTAAATAATAAATCCCTGATTTCAACTAAAGGTCATGAATATTTTTTTTTCATCGGCAAGAAACACACGCACACCACTCACACACCCACTTTGCCCCTTTGGGGACTCGAACCCATCACCATCCACTTTGGAAGGTAGATGAGATACCGCTAGGCCACAAGGCCCTTGGTCTAAAGGTCATGAATTCCAATAAACAAAATTGTTTAATACTTGTATCATGCAATGGATACACATGCAATAAAGGGAAACCATTATTACCATCTTCAGATTAACCAACCAACAGTCTGACATCATACCACCGATAATGAGAATGAAGTAAATGAAAGATAAAAACTCGCAAATATGATAATAAGAGTTACTATGTTCACTTCTATTTGTTCGAATAAGGGAAAATGTAACTTAAAAAAGAGAGAACTGATCTCTTTCTTCATGATATCATTTGTAACACTTCATGCTCTCTAGGCATATACATTACGGACTATGTTGACAGTTACATATTAATATTTTTTAGATTCATAGCCACAACTCAAAGCATGAATATATATCACAAACACAACATGATAAAACATCACCAGAATAAAAAAGGTCAATTATTTGCTATAACGTTTAATGTAATATACACAACCATATGATAGACTCACATCTTCCTCCCTCTTAGATATATATATATATATATATATATATATATATATATATATTTTAGAACAACTGAACTCTTGTTTCATTTTTTTTTCTTAATAATTTTCCAGATATGAATAAGAAAGCTTGCACTGTTAATTGTACCAAGCTCTAAAAGAATTATAGTGGCAGATTAATGACAGAATGCTTAATCCAACTGAAGGCTGGCAAAACTGTACTTCCCAAGTGTATGACATATACAAAAAGTGAAAACACTTACAGAATATAAATATTCAACAGCTCTCTCTGGGTTGTTGTAAGCAGCGCGGAGTGCACGCACAACAGTATCCCTGTCCCAAGTCCCTCCACCCATATCGAGAATTTGCTGAATCGCACCTTCAAGATTGTTTCCAGCAACCAGATTTGATGCTGCTTGGTCATAGACAACAGCTTGTGGCCTGGTTGAACAAGCATTATTGGATATTGAAAAAGGAACCAAAGCAGAAATTCTCTACTGTATAAACTGATAACAATAGAAAATATGGGACCAAAATTCGTGCTCTTTACAAGTTAAAGAAAAAGAAAATACTCACGCAGCACTAACTGAAGATGCAGGAGCTGTTGCGGATGCTGGAGCTGTTGCAGGTGCAGGTCCCGGAACACCAGATGGTCTGTAAAGTACAGATAAAATCATGACCTAATAAAAAGACAGAAAAGACAACAAAAGAAGGGAAAACAACATGCACAAGAAAAATATATACGCATCTTTGATTTCATGGAAAATTTAAGCTTACAGTGTCGTCGTTACAGAAGGTTGAGAGGCTGCTGGTGCTGGTGCTGGTGCTGGTGCTGGAGCTGGAGCTGGAGCTGGTGCTGAACTAGGAGGTGAGGAACTTGTCTGTGGTGCCTAAACGGCGGAGAGAACTGTTAGACCCATTCTTACTTGACAATCTCCCAAAAAAAAAAATATCACTCAGAGAGGGAGGGGGGAGAGAGAGAGAGACAAAACTATGGAGGAAATCAAACAGAAGAGCTGAAAAGACATCACCCTATGAATCAATCTTAGATACAACAACTTGATTAATCATAAGCACATGTACATTCCATGCACTAAGCTCTGTAGAACAAATTTGGTATGTTGATGGACAAAATTCACAAAACTAGTAATGTAATTAGACCGATCTTAATAGTAATTTGAAAGATACCTTCTTTTTGACCCTGAAACCCCAGTCCAGTTCACAGTGCAAATAAAATTGAAGCCACAACTGACCTAGACCACAAATGTTAGACCACCCCATCTCACTGACAATAAGAGATCCACTATTGAACAATTTGATTTCACCAATTGACCAAGTGCCTATATTTCATAGATCACCATCATTTATTCCTTTGAATCAGTATCAGCATTCTGTACACTACCGAAACAATAAAAACCACTCTAATTCACTATATAGAACAGAACTAACGTGAATGTTTCAATACAATTTAGTATGAACTTATTATCACCACAGGCCCACTTATTTTGAGCAAAGCAAGAATTAGAACTCCTCATGCTTTTCAACTACCATGCTTACACCCATGTGTCAAAATTTATGGTTGCACATGTCAAAGTTTGTAGTTGCATGGTAAATGGATTTAAACTTAATACTGTAAAAAAAAGCACAAAATTTGCCAGGAGTCAAAATCCCTTATTCTCAGACTCAGGGCTTAATAAAGGCAGATCTTTAAGGCCACATTTGGATGTGTAGATACAAGGCCCGAATAGAATAGGACATCTCTAGATGCAATAAAAGCCACTGGTTTAATATACTAATCCTGCTATTGGATTCAGATAATGCTGAATTATAAGGATGACTCTTTAAAAGAAAACCACAATATTACTTGACAAGGAGGAGCATACAATTCAGTACCGGACAAAAACTTTGTTGAGTTCAGATCATGCAAAAAAAGCTGTCTTACCTTAGTCGTAAGTGCAGTTGATGTGGTTGAACCTTCACTTGGTGAACTCTTATTCTAGCATTTTTGGGGAAAAGAATAAATTCAGTACCAGACAAAAAAATGTGAACATCATGCATGGAAACATACACACACCCTTAAAATAAAATAAGAAGAAGGGGCGCCGGGGGGGGGGGGGGGGGGGGGGGGGGGGGGGGGGGGGGGGTGTGTATTTAAAAAAAATTTAATGTCCAAGTAATCATTATAATATGTTGAAAAGTAAGACAGATGTACACAAAAAAATTCTCTTGCACAAGAGGAAGTCATTTGGTTAATGAAATCCAAGGAAAAAATGTAATACCCAAGGATGAACCTAGGAATTATGTTCAGGAGGGCACAATGTAATAAATAAAAAAATGAGGGGGAGCAATTTTAAAGAATTATACATACAAAAATGGAATTTTTTTAAAGTTGAGGGAGGGGGAAACATGCACCAACCCCCCCCCCCCCCCCCCCCCCCCCCCCCCGGGAGGCCCATTGGCTCCGTCCAGGGTAATACACATTAAGCCTAAATGTCTAATATTTATTAATTTCTGTTTCACCACAATTATCAATTATCAGTATTTGTGCACAAAATGAGAATGTTGTAGCCTCCCCTATTACTCCACTTCCATAAAGAAGCTATTTTCCTTTCTAATATTCAAGCAAACATGTTTAGATTGGGCCCAACTGACAATTCAAGTGGGCAAAACCCTTTTCAGTTTTAGCTATTGGCCTTCCTCTTGAACCAGTAATTATCTGTGGTTACTCGTCCTTGTCTCATTCCGTCCATAGGCACCATTAACATGAATGAAAAACTAAGCCATATGAACAATCAACACTTCTGATTGCGAAGTTATGTGCCAACACTGAAAATAGTAACAAGCTGGAAATTTTAGGCAGACATTACATGTCTAATAAATTTATGAAATATCACCAGATTATTGGTCATTTTACACCTTGAATTAAGCTAAAACAATAAAGGGACTCTTTTGCATACACAAAGAATCTGAAGGAAATCTATAATTATAATTATCAATCATCAAGCTGAACAAGGCCCTGTAAACAATGGCCATCAAGAACAATTGGAAAATAATATGTTGAGACAGGAAAACTTGAAAAAGCATATAAAATCAACTCCAGCTTAAGTCAATTCCCTGAAGAAATATAATGGAAATACTCCACTAATATTCAAACCATAAAAACAATTTCTACCTTTGATAACATTTTTTATTTATTTTGATAAGTAAAATTTCTACCTTTGATAACATGATGACAACAAAACTGTTTTCAGCAACCTGATTTTCTTCTAGTGTTGTGCCGTCTTTAAGAACCTTTCCCTGATGAATAAGCATCTGTTGTGCAACAGGGTACACATCTTGTCCTTGAACGGTTTCTATATTTTTCTTCACATCAGCAACCTGGTGTATACGGTCATTAGTTTCAACTGACATAGTCAGTTAATATTCACAAAACATGTGTAGAAAAAGAGGTGCCCACGAAAATAATGTGGATAAAAAATAGAAGCAAGAACAATTGTAAACAAAAAAAAAAAGAAAAATGATTTGAAACATAACAAACAATTCAAGGGCTTGTATCCACATGATAACATAAAACAACATAAAACCTGATTAAACTCTATACATTTTCCAAATGAAGATGAAAGCATACGCAAAACCTAGGTTCCTAGTCACTACCAAAATTGAAGGAGCTCCCTGTCTCACATCCTCTAAAATGTGGCTGCACATACTATGCATGTGCCCTCTATGTGGATGGATTTTATTTTTATACACATCATCTGTGTGTGTATGATTTCTAGGTGTAATATAATTCCGAACTAAGTTCATGCTAATCTATTTGTTATTCTAATAACTTTTTATTGATTAACATTTAAAAAAAAAAAAAAAAAAAACTCTTTCAATAACCACCTGTGGTGTAGATGCCTCAAGTTATTTAGAATTGAATATACTTGTTGGCATCAGCGCCCTTGAAATACAATTGACATCTCTTGACATAGTAGTGTTCTTTAATTGTTTTCTACACCATTCACTAGCAACTCATAATGCATAGTCCTGAAAAACTCCCAAAACACCATAACCAATTTTCTACATCCGAATTGGAGTCCATAAAAATTAATATATTATGATCTATACGTGGAATTTGATGGAATTAGCAACAAAGACGGACATAATTCAGAAATACAAGTAGCTGGCTGTGTGGCATAATGGCATTACAAATGACAGATGTTAGAATGTCTTGGGTCCAGACAAAGAGGGAAATTTTAGGTCATATAAGCAACTACGCCCTCAATGAAACTATCATATGAAACAAACATATAAAAAAATGAAGACTTTGTCACTAATGGGAAGTCAATGCATGAATTTCGGATTCAATTATCCCAAATAATTTTTTTTTTTTTTTTTATCTTCTTTGAGGGGAGGCTTGGTATAAATAATCACTTCAGTAACAGCTTCCCAACCTCAATTTCACATCCAAACTCCCCTTAACTACATAGCAAAGCAATTGGAGTAACTATATCGATCATAGACAAAACCTAAATTCACACACACAGACACACATACAGATGCACAAAAATAGAATTAAGCATCCGCTCATAATCTTTATTCTAATTCATAAGACACCTAGAAAAACTTGATTCTTGATCAATTTGAGAGTAAAATAAAGAATAGATATATAAGATAATATATGTAAAATAATTATATAATTAAGCAACAAAAAAGACGAACCGTGTCTTCAGGTTTCACTTCGATTTCGAAGTTAGTTCCCTTTAGAGTCTTTACGAAAATCTTCATTGTTAGGTATAGTGTATTCGAAGGCCACCAGTACGATCTCGATTTCTCCGGCGATGCCTCTCGATTCAACCGCCAATACCTAGAGAGAGAAAGTAGAGAGAAAGCAGGAGGAGAAGAATAGAGAGAAAACCCGATGGCACAAGCAAGAGATCACGAAGTTTATACCTCACCGCTCTTGCAGTATACCCCAAAGGAAACTATAATATCCACGCGCTAATATGGAGGTGTAAAAGACGCGCTAAAGCACAAGAAGACCTTACTAGCTTTGGGAGAGATTTCAGGAAACCAATTATATAAATGGGGGCAGAATGTGGGCTGTTTTGATAAATTTGGTGAGTTTTTGAGGCGATTTCGGAGAAGGGTTGTCTCACCCCCACACGGAATATACTTTAAATTTATTAAATAACCCTTGTATATTACTGAATATATTAAGTTGAGTTATATACATGTATCACATGATGAAACCCTAGTCTTCATTTCTTTTCTCGTTTTTAAATCTTATTAAAAAAAAAAATTACGAGTAAAGATGACAAAAATTCTCACCCCAACCCGTACCGTTGGGGATAGTTTTAGGGAACCAATTATGTAAAGGGGATGGGGTTGTTTTGAAAAATCTGACAAGTTTTGGGGCGATTAGAGGAATGAAAAAATTAAAATGGAATGGGGATGGGGATTCCCACCCCAAACTGCCTCATTCTCATCCTTAAGTACACATCGTAGAGATAATAACCCTAGAAAAATGTTGCCAAATGATTTATGTATTGTTGATTGGCAAGACTCGAATACAGGTTCAAGGGGATTAACTCAATCACTCGGGCAACATGACACTTGTAAAATTTATTTTTATTTATTATTAATTAAGATTATTTATTAGACACTGATAATTGGAATAGCAAAAAAAATATATATATATATATAGATCTTTAAATATATATATATATATATATATATAGATCCTTAAATATAGTAGTAGTAACAGGGAATTACTCAGTAACATAATTAATAGAGTGTTTAGCTTCACGAGCAGGTTTGCCCTATTCCAATTCCCCTCCCCCTAGTTTATCACCGAAAAAAAATAAAAAATAAAAAATTAGTAGAATCCATAAACCTAAATAGAGACCGTACAAATAAAATAAATTAAAACTTTAAAGACCAAAAATTAATCTTTTATTTTATGAAGAGGAGAAGAGAAGAAAGAAAGGTATTATGTCATATGGATCCCACTTGTATATATTTATTTGTGAACACTTTTGAATTAGATTTATCATAGAATTTTTTCCCCTGAATTACATAGAATTGATTTGTTATGATTCATTAACTAATTGAAAATTTTATTACTAAATTTTAAAAACGAAGTTTTAGGAGATATTTTTAAATTGAGAATTAATATATATATATATATATATATATATATATATATATATATATATTTTAATTTCAAAGTGTTCACATTTAGTGATTGGTGAAATTACTGCCACTTAAACTTTTAAATCTTTTTCAATGGCACTTATTGATTTAAATAATACTCAAATTGTGTAATAACCTCACTTAATTGAATAAATATATTTTTCTAAAAAACAAAATTAAGACCTTCAAAATTAAATACTACCTTTGCTTATCACATAGTGCCCAAGTCTATCTCAAACTCTTGCTTGTGTGTTTAAATCCTAATGATTTTATATGACCTTATTCCAAGTATTATCTTCTCCTCATTCCTAATCAAATATATATATATTTGGCTAATTTAATTGCCAAATATATATATATATAGTGAAATATAATTAAAATCAATAATAATATGATTCATGAATTAAATTTGTCCCTAAAACTCGTTAGAGGAGCGTGTTTTTCAACTTCATGAAGGAGTTTGGGATTAGTTATGTGGCTTTTTTAATTGCCAAATATATATATATATAGTGAAATATAATTAAAATCAATAATAATATGATTCATGAATTAAATTTGTCCCTAAAACTCGTTAGAGGAGCGTGTTTTTCAACTTCATGAAGGAGTTTGGGATTAGTTATGTGGCTTTTCCAGGAGGAGAGAGAGAGTTCGGAGTTTTAGTGTGTCTGACAAGACAAGAATGGGATGGAGTGAGAATCATGATTATCTCGCGCGTGGAATTACTGATCACCGTCTGATTTAAAACTTGATCGATATTCCGCCGAAGGGTGGTCCCCATTTTTCATCAACAACTTAAATTTATTTATTTTAATTTTTTCATTATTTTTTTTTTAAATGAAAATATAGGATCACCGTATCATATATATAAAAATATATTTAACCGATCATATTTAAATAACTGATATGCTATTTTATTATCTATTTAAGCAATCATTTTCAGTTAATTTAATTGAAAGTACAGCAACTCATGGAAGCTCAGCTTCACCAAACTTGAAAATGGTCCCCATGATGTGTCCAAAGCTGAGTCCGACCTCTTCAGGAACTAGCGCTGTGGTCTTACACTCTTGCCATGATAACCATGTGTGAGATTTTGTGTGTGTGTGTGTGTGTGTGGGCCATATTTGGCACAGCCAGTCTCAAAATGGCTGTAATAGTTGAGGACAAGGTTCAAACGAGGAAAAACTTACATGTGGAGACCTAATAAGCGACGAAATGTTTCGAGGAGTTGAAAATAAGCATAAATTCGAAGATCTTTTCGGGACTTTGAACGGGCTTACAGTGACGTGAAATTCATTTGTCATTATAATGAATTGGGTTACTATTTGGTTGTCATTATAATGATATGAAATTCATTTGTTTAAACTTGGTTACTGTTGTTTAGAGGTGAATTTCACGTCATTATAAAAATTGATAGTGTTGAATTTCACCCACCAAAATTTACATAATATGAAACAAAAGGTTGCCCAAATATATATTGTTGTGGTTTTATGAAGCCTGATTAAGTAATTTTTTTTAAAAAAAATTTAATTATATAAAAACTTTAAGAGTACTGAATTCTAGGGATAATCTGTTTTAACTTCCTTATTGGTTTAAGGAAAATTTAGTTTTTTGATTTGATTTAATTTTCTTATTGGTTTTGGATTCTACAAAATGTAAATTTTTGTAGGACAAGTTTGGGGACTCTATAAATAGGGTAAGAAAGTTAGAGAAAAATGTGTGTCAATACAAAAGAGAGCAATTGAGAGAGATTGAGAGTGAATTTGTTTGGTGTGCTCCATGGACGTAGCCCTAAGATTTGGGTGAACCATATATATCTTGTGTTCTTGTGTGTGATTTTTTTTTTTTATTCTTCGTGATTGCTTGTTTATTTCTTGAACAGTGTTGTTTATTTTGCGTTTCCACCATAACAACTGGTATCAAATTCAGTTGATTGCGTAGTGCAACTCTAACAACTGGTATCAGAGCCTTTGGTTGAGAACCTAAGGCACAGAAGGTGTTTGACGAAATTCCGAAAGTCTTTCGATCAGATCTGTCCGTTCGAGTGGGAGTAATGGCATCAGAAGATAAGACATCCACATCCATGATCGAGAAGTTCGATGGTACAAACTTCGATTTCTGGAAGATGCAAATTGAAGACCTCTTGTTTCAAAAAAATCTGTATCAACATTTGGGAGAAAAGCCAGAGGATACAACGGATGTAGAATGGGAATTACTTGATAGGAATACTTTTGGCACCGTCAGATTGACGTTGTCAAAGTCAGTTGCCTTCAATATCAAGAACGAGAAGACGACGAAGTCTCTTATGACAGCCTTTTCTAGTATGTATGAACAGCCTTCTACAGCGAACAAGGTGCACTTGATTAAGAAGTTATTTAACATGAAGATGGTCGAAGGTGGTAAGTTCAACGAACATTTAAATGCGTTCAACGAGATAGTTGGGCAATTAGAGTCTGTTGATATCGACTTCAAAGACGAGGTCCGAGTACTGCTAATTCTAGGGCAGTTACCCGAGAGTTGGAGTGGCACAGTTACAGCGATCAGTAGCTCTGCAGGGAAGACCAAGTTGAAGTTTGATGAAGTTGTGAGCATAATTCTGACTGAAGAAATCAGAAGGCAAACTTCAGGGTTTTCCACCAGTGGTTCGACGTTGAATGTTGAAAGTAGAGGCAAGGGTTCAAACAAGAAAAAGGGCAACAATAATAGAAACAGAGGCAGATCCAAGTCAAGAAATGGAAGGACACAGTCTCAAAATTTCAGGAATTCCATAGATTTCAATGACATTGAGTGTTGGAATTGTGGAAAGAAGGGACATTACTGTGCTGATTGCAGACTTCCAAAGAAGGGAACCGAAAGAAAAACTGAAGCAAACTTTGTCTCAGAAGAATCAGATGATGCATTGATATGCTCTTTGAAGAGCAAGGTGAAGTCATGGGTTTTAGATTCTGGCGCATCGTTTCATGGTACCTCAAACAAAGAGCTATTTAATAGCTATGAACCGAGTAACCTTGGTAAGGTGTATCTTAGTGATGATCAGCCTTGCAGCGTCGTTAGGAAGGGTGAATTGCAAATCAAGTTGAATAGGTCAGCTTGGAAGTTAAAGGATGTGAGACACATCCCTGATTTGAGGAAGAATCTGATTTCGGTGGGACAATTGTCAGATGAAGGTTTTGTTACAACCTTTAATGGAGACTCGTGGAAAGTTTCTAGAGGCGCTATGACCATTGCACATGGTAAGAAATCTGGCACTCTCTACACAACTACCAATGCTTATGGGTCTATAGCAGTTGCAGAAAATAAAGAAGATCACAACCTTTGGCACCAGAGACTAAGTCACATGAGTGAAAGGGGGCTCAAAATTATGCACTTAAAGGGAAAACTACTAGGCATACGGGCAATTGATATTGACTTCTGTGAGAGTTGCGTGATGGGTAAGCAAAAGAGGGTCAGTTTTAAGAAGAGTGACAGAGATCTCAGAAAGGAGAAACTTGAGTTAGTTCACACATATGTTTGGGGGCCAACCACTGTTTCATCCATTGGCGAAAAATCCTACTTCGTGACTTTCATTAATGATCACACGAGGAAGGTATGTGTTTATTTTTTGAAGCACAAATCTGAGGTATTTGATGTGTTTAAGAAGTGGAAGGCCATGGTGGAGAATAAGACAGGTTTGAAGATCAAGAGGTTGAGATCAGACAATGATGGTGAGTATGAAGACACTGGGTTCAAGAAGTTCTGTT